TCATTACCTGAGCCACAGTTGGACACAACCAGCTGAGCCACGCAGGCGCCCCAGGAACGCAGAATCTCTGAGGGCAGTAATCAAATCCGGGGAAGCTTGTTTCAGATGCTAGTGCTCATCTGCTGAGGGTGCCCAGTGGTCACGGTGCTCCAGGCTCTTACCTCTTGCCTTCTTAGCTTGAACTGAGCAGTCTGTACACTTTGCTCCTTTTTTCTTTTCCCTCCTCCCTTCCTTCCTTTATTCCTTCCTTCCCTTCTTTTACAAATTCACAACGCTTTGGAAGGAAATGCAATAAATTTTTGTTTGCAAGTGGCTTGATCTACCTCTTTTCCCAGTGCCTTTGAAGTGAATGTTTAGCTCCTTGTGAGCCGATCCTGGGCCCTCCAGGCTCCAGTCCACAAAAGGAACGAGGCAGCCGTCAGCAGCTCCCTTTACTTGGACCAGACGCACGACTTGGGCGATATTGCCAACAATCAGACCGATATGGCTTGTGACCGAAACAGACCGAAAGAGGGAGCCGAACAGGACCAGTTACCATTTTCCACATATGTTCACAGGTTTTTGTGTTTTGAGTTGGCCTGGAGTATGAGTTTAGAGAAAGCTAGGGAATCCCAAATGCCACCACGAAGGGATCCTAGATATCCCCAACGGACGTGGCATGGCCAGCTGCCCCTCCGCTTCGACGGAGAATAAGCCCGGAAAGGTGACGAATCTATCTGAAAGCGTGAAGGTAGCCCTCGGAAAGCATACTTCTGGATCAGGTTTGAGAAACCGGGCCTCAGTGTAAAAGGACTTATGTCAGGTGGTCTATAAAAACATAGTAGACTAAGGTTTTAAAAACAAGCAGTGTTTAAAAAATAAATAAATGAATGAATGAATAAATAAATAAAAATTAAAAAATTTTTCCAGGGGTGGCTGGGTGGCTCAGTCAGTTAAGCGTCCAACTTTGGCTCAGGTCATGATATCAAGGTTCGTGGGTTCGAGCCCCGCGTCAAGCTCTGTGCTGACAGCTCAGAGCCTGGAGCCTGCTTGAGATTCTGTGTCTCCCTCTCTCTCTGCCCTTCCCCCACTCGCGCTCTGTCTCTCTCTCTCAAAAAATAAATGGACGTTAAGTAAAAGCTCTTCTGGGCGCCTTGGTGGCTCGGTCACTTGAGCGTCCTACTTGGGCTCAGGTCATGATCTCATGGTTCATGAGTTCAAGTCTCGCATCGGGCTCAGTGCTATCAGCGCAGAGCCCACTTCAGATCCTCTGTCCCCCTCTCTCTGTCCCTCCCCCTCTTGTGCACTCTGTCTCTCTCTCTCAAAAATTAACAAACATTTTAAAAAAGAAATGACCTGTTTAAAACAGAAACAAAACACCTAACCCGTTTCTGACCAAAAGTCAAACCAGGACTGACCGGTGAGGAAAAGTAAGTTCAAACCTCTTACAGGGGCATCTGTCTGGCTCGGTCGGTACAACACGTGACCCCTTGATCTCAGGGTTGTGAGTTCTAGCCTCATGTTGGGTGTAAAGATTAGTTTAAAAATAAAATCTTTAAAAGTAATTCATGAATTAGTTCGTTTAAAAAATACACCAAACCAGGGGCGCCTGGGTGGCTTAGTCGGTTAAGTGTCCGACTTTCGCTTAGGTCATGATCTCGCGGTTCGTGGGTTCAAGCCCCGCGTCGGGCTCTGTGTCGGGCTCTGTGCTGACTGCCAGCTCAGAGCCTGGAGCCTATTTCAGAGTCTGTGTCTCCCTCTCTCTCTGACTCTCCCCTGCTCACGCTGTCTCTCTCTCTCCTAGAAATAAATAAAAAAATATTAAAAAAAAAATACACCAAACCTCTTGCACAATATTTCCCCCAGTGAGTGGGGGGCAAGAAAACATGATGTCATTTTTAAACGATTGTTAATGAAACGAATGTTTCAAGTTTGAAAATGGCCTGAAAACTTGCTCTTCGTTTTGCCGATTAGTCATATGCTGTAGAAAATCACGAGTCAAGGTTTCGTCACATGTTTATCAGGGCTCATATGACTCATGAACACACCAAGCAGGCCACGTTTCTTGGAAGTTTACACCATTTCTGGTCTGGTCCTGCCCTCAACAGAAGCTGGGGACACAGTGAGGTATTTGGCACTACGTCCCTGTAACCTAGTCTGCATCCCTCTGTCCATGCTCAGCTGATTGGCCTGTTTATGTCAGTGTCCGTAGAAAGTCAAGGTCTGATGTGGTTCCCGCCTGTGCCTTCCTCCTGTATGCTGCTGCTGGGGTGTTTCAAACGGACTGGAGACGTGGGCTCTGAACAGTTTTCTTCACACTAGGTCCACCAGGAACCTGTCCATGGGCGTCTCTACCCTGGGCACGTGGTTATGTCTCTCTCTCTTTTTTTCTTTCTTTCAGTTTCCTTTCTTTTCTCTCATATTTGTAGGACGGGCTCTGCAACGCAAAAAGCAGAAGCAGGAGGAGGAGAAGGTGGGGGGCACGGACGGACAGAAGGGTTAGTTGTTCATGGAAAATCTTAGGACCTTGTCCTTGGACACCACGGGCTTTAGAGAAGTCCTCAAATAGAAACGTCAAGAGAACTGGAATTCAAGTAGAGGATGGCAGCGGTGTGGATCCTAGGTAGCCTCATTTGGAAAAGGCATAGGTTGCAATGGAGGGGGTGGCGGGGAGGCAGCCGAAACAGACAAGACAAGCTTGTCTTGCAAACTGGCAAAACAGGGCTGAAACCATCCGAGAAGGCCTGTAGCAGAGGGTCTTTGAACTCCTCAGTATTGCATTTCAGCAGGTTTCTCGACTGAGCCCCGGGAGAGTTCTTGAGGCACCACCCGCAGGTCTTTGAGCCAGAGCGCTGGGGCGTGGGAGCGGAAGTAGGGCCACTCGGGGCAGTGCTGGCGTCCAGAGCCCCCATCACCCATCAGTGGGGGGCCCAGCAGGAAGCCAAGGCTGCGTTCACCGAGAACACCCATGTGGGACGTGGGCCCAAGCCTGCACTCCATCCCAGGACTCCGGGCATGGTTAACTAAGGGAAAGTCAAAGTAAGACCAAGAAGAGAGACCACGCAATATGAAAGCATTGATACTAAGCTATGTATAGACATGCAAATCAGCAGAAAGAAGGCTAGAAACCCAGTGGAAAAGGTACACGATGGCTACCCAAACAGACAATTCACAGAAGAGGGAACCACTGTGATTGCCAAGTGCATAAAGACCTGTTCAAATTCCCCCGTCGTCAGAGAACCCAGATGGAAGTTAGGAACCACTTTAGATTCGTCAGATTAGTAAGCATTAGAAAACTGGAAAACCAAGCGCTAAGAGAAAACCAGAACCCTCACCGTAAGTGTGGAAATTCAAAGAGCCACCCGGGAGAGCATCGTCGGTACTTTGTGAAGTCAAGGGTGCATGTACCCTGTGGCCTGGAATTCCTGCTTCAGGAAGAATTCTCCCACAGTCCATAAGGAGACAGCGTGAAGATGTTCACAGCAGTGACATACGCGACAGAGGGATCGTGGCCAAGCCCAGGGTGCATCCCTGAAGGGTGTGGTGGACACTAAAAGTGCTGGATGCTCAACGTGGTATATTATGGGCAACTAGCAGAAGTAACAAATGAGATGCGTGTGGGAAACGTTAAGTGTTGAGGGTAAAAATGTAAACAACAGAATGAGTCTTGCACACGACACCATGCGTGTAAATTGCAAGCATCCACATCGCACCCACGCCATGTATAGTAGGGAACCAGATAGGATTCAAGACAGCTGACTGGGGACCCTGAGAGGGGCCTTGTTTACTGCGGTGACGGGTCATAAACTGAGAAGTAGGAATGATTCAACTCTGTCCATGAGGTCATACAATGAAGTGTGGTGGGTGGAAGACGGGCTTGCCTAGAACTAGGGGAGCGTGGGGAGCGTGGGTTCCAACCCCAGTTTTACCCCAAGTAAGCACCGGGGATTTGGGCAAAGCATTCATTCATTTCATCCACAAGTAATTAACGAGCATCTACTCAGGGCCACTCTTCTGGGCACTGTGGACACACTGGTGAATAAAACAGTGTAAAATAAGTTCATCTCAGATAGGTTATGTGTGATGTGATGCTGACTTTAGATTGCATCATCACGGTTGGCATCTCTGACACCTGACGTTTGAGCAGGGATGCAGATGATGAAAGAACCCAGTTGTGGCAGAGCAAGGTCAAGTGTTTTTACAGGCACCGGGAACAACACGTGCAAAGGCCCTGAGGTGAGAATGAGTTTGGCCTGTGTGGCTGGGTGGGTGAAAGAGGGGCAGAGAGGGCTTGATGAATTGAAGAGGCAGGCAATGAACAGAGCATTCACAGCTTTGTGGGCCTTAGTCAAAAAGAGTTCAGATATTATTCTAAACACAGTGGAAAACCAAGGGGCAGTTTTATACAGAGGAGTGACTTAGCAGCATACTTTAAAAACAAAACAAAACATTTTTTTCCTTAAGAGTAATATACAGAGAAAAAGATGAGATACATTTTAAAAGATCACTTTGGCTGCCGAGTGGACACTAGAGTGGAGGAGTGGAAGCCACATAAGCTTTCTGAGCCTCAGTGTCCACATCTGCTGTGGTGAGAATACGCAACCGGTGCAGAGCCGCGGTGGGTCAAGGCGGGGGCACAATCTGGTCCTAGGAGTCTCCTTGGCACTCAAGGCGCCCGCTGGGACGCAGAAGGCTCCATCCGGGTCCTGGGAGGCTGGCACCCCGCTGCCCCTCCAAGCCCACACAGACCTACGGGTTGCAAGCGAGAGCTGCACCCGCTGTGGCTCGCGTAGGCGGCCGCTGGGAGGCGCCGGGGACCCCGCGAGGTCCCCAAAGGAGGCCCCGCCCACTGGCCAGCTCGGCGCTCGGCAGCTCCTGCCTGCGGAGGGAGAGCAGGGGCGGGGCCGTTACGTGAGGGCGGGGCCTCGGCCAGGGCGCCGGCCAGTCGCACTCCAGAGACTACAGCACGGGGCGGGGCCTGCGTGCGGGGGCGGGCCCTGCGTGCGGGGGCGGGGCCGCAGCGCTCTGGGCTGGCGGGCGCGGATGGCGGCGGCGCAGGGCGCCTGAGCCGGCCGGGGCCATGAGCGCCGCCAGGCCCCAGTTCAGCATCGATGACGCCTTCGAGCTGTCCTTGGAGGACGCGGGCCCGGGGCCCGAATTCAGCGGGGTCGCCCGCTTCGGGCCGCTGCACTTCGAGCGCCGGGCCCGGTTCGAGGTGGCCGACGAGGACAAGCAGTCCCGGCTGCGCTACCAGGTGAACGGCCCGGCCCACCTCAACCCCAGCCCGGGTCCGGGCGGAACCCCAGGCCGGACCCTGGAGAACCCCAACTCAAGGGAAAATCTCTAGACGACCCTGCCTCCGTAGCCGCTGATTCAAGGCCCTGCCCAGGCCCTCTCAACTCTTGATTTTGGTCCCCAGCCACCGAGTTCCTCCGCCAGCCCCAGCTGGAAATCCCACCCGGCGTCCCCACCTATTCTGGGTCCTGACCCAACCCCCTCTCTCCCCCCTGGGCTGGAGAGCTCTTGTACCTGAACCAGACCTTGCCGAAACTCCGAGGCAGACCCTTGAGCCTTCCACTCTCCCTCTTCAGTTCTGCGAGGCCCCACCCCATCCTGCTCCCCCCCCCGCCCCCCACTCCCCTACCCCAGGGCTGGAGCCCCTCACTCACATGAGTCCGGGCCCAGGGCCCATGCCTTGACTCCGACTAAACGGGGAATCTCCAGTCTCCCTAAGGGACTTCCACCAACTCTAGGATCCTTCTCTTCGGGACCTGTACCAGATTGCTGTGCCCCAAACTTGAAAGCCATGGGCTTTTGCCCTTCCTTCGCACCCCAAAGCTGGAGCCTTCATACCGGGCCCTGAGATACCATTCTGAAAGGTCTACCCTGACTCCCAAGCTTGGAAGTGCTCCTGGCCCAGCCTGGGACCCTGTTGGGAGCCTTCACCCAGCCCCTGTGACTTCTGCCACCCCCCAACCCCCACCTCTTACCTGGGTTTCAGTTTCTGTGAATCATCAAACCTGTTTTGCGGGGAGGGTGGAGGGTCAGGTGAGCAGCTGTCAGGCAGCCGGGCAAACAGCTGTGTGGGCTTGCTCGCCTCTCCCTGAGAAGGGATAGGAAGGGCCTGGGCCCAGTAACCCCCTCTGAGCCCTGTGTTCTGGAATAGAACCTGGAGAACGATGAGGACGCAGCCCAAGCCTCTCCGGAGCCGGATGGGGGAGTCAGCATCAGGTCAGGGCCAGGTGGGGACCCTCCCTGTGCCTCTAGCTCTGTGCTCCTGGCTCCTTTCCCCAAGGTCCCTGGCCAGTCTTCCACCTCACATCGCTCAGCTCTGTCACATCCTGTCCTACAAGGACTCCTAGCCTGATTCCCACTCCCCTCATGGGCTCCCCTGTCCTGAAGGGTCACCCTACTCCAGTGCCAGCCTCGCCCCCCCACCCCCACCAGGCTCTTTATGCTGCAGAACCCCCCCCCCCCTCACACACACACACAGCCTGGTCTGGCCCCTACTTCCCTCCAGGTCATCTGTCCTGCAGGAATCCCTGGCTCGAATCCGCAGCCTTTTTCCATCCTCAGTCCCGCAAGCGTCCCCACCACGTCATTATGACCCCTCCCTCCTCACTCCCCCGCCTCTAACTGGGCCCGCCTGGCTCGCAGGGACTCCAGCCGAACGTCCATCCGCAGCTCCCAGTGGTCATTCAGCACCATAAGCAATAGCACCCAGCGCTCCTACCACGCCTGCTGCAGGTGAGACCCTGCCCTGCTTCGGCCACCTGCTGTCTGTGACCCAGGACGGGCAGCCCTGGCTTTGCCCGCTCAGTCCTCTGGGTGGGGACGGGCGGGGGTGGGCTGCTTGTCACTTCTCACGCCCGTCCTGCTCTCCTGCCGCCCAGCTGGACTCAACACCCTCTGATCCAGAAGAACCGCCGGGTGGTGCTGGCCTCCTTCCTACTCTTGCTGCTGGGGCTGGGTGAGTGGCCCCGAGGGTCCCCCGCCTGCCCCCATGAGGGCTCCGTCCTCCCTCTGCGTGGGCTCTGCACCCCCTCCTTGGTGCACCGAGCCTCCCTACACCCAGCCGGCTGCCATCACCCCACCCCCATTTTACAGGTGAGGAAACTGAGGCCATGAGGGGAGCAGGCCCCCTCTCCCGGCCACACAGCCAGGAAATCACACATAGTTGAAAGTGGACCCTGGTCCAGTGCTCCAGACTTTTCTGTTTTTAACTTAGCCGTTTAACCCATCAGGGAGCAAAAAAGCAACAGCTACCATTTATTCTGTGTCTACTTTGAGCCGAGTGCAGGGTGACTTCTTTCCGGAGGTCACACAGCAAGTGAGAGGTAGGACCACGACCCGGAACCTGTAGAGAGACACGCGCATCCCTTCCCCGGAGCCTTGCCAGCCCGAGCCACAGGGACCTGCCACGTCCCCTTCTCTGGAGTCAGAGCTGATGAGGACCTCTCCCTGCCCCTCGCTGGGTACACCTAGTGCCCAGATGGGGAAACCGAAGACCAGAGCAGGCAGATCTCACAGCCAGATGTTTTCTGACTCCTTCTATGGGGCTGAGGAATCGGGATCCCCAGAAAAGGACCCAGGGTCGGGATCAAGAGGGGCTTGTAGGGACAGCCCAGCTGTGGCAGCTGCTGTCCATCCTCCAGCTCGGGGGTCGGAGTCCCCCCGAGGCGTCCTTGCCTCAGCTCTGAGTGTCTGTGTGCAGGGGGGGAGGGAGCCACCGACTTCTCCAGCACCCACTGCAAGCTGGACACTGGTCACAGCGGCCACCTGCCTTCTCCCATTTCATTCTCTCTCCCAGCACCCACAAGGGCAAGCATTACCATCCCAGTTCAGAAATAAGGACAGAGGCTCAGCCAGGTAAAGGGACTTGCTCAGACCTCAGCTGGGAAGTAGATGAGCTGGGATTTAAACCCACGTCAGTGACATTACCAGGCCTCTAAAGGGTCTTTGTAGGACGCAGAAGGCACCTCCCCTGAGTGGGCAGGGCGCGCGGCCCTAAGCCAGGGTCGCGGGCAGTGTTTCAGCCCCCACCTCTCCCTTCTTGAGGTGCTCTGTACAGTCCGAGTCACCCAACAGTCCATGGTGGCCCCTCAGGCCTCCATGCTATATTGTCCCCGTTGCTGGAAAGCCCAGCTCCCCCGCCCCCATTCCATCCTCTGACTGGGGACCCAGGACCCTCTGGGTCTGAAAAGTTGACCCAGCCATGACTTTTCCAACACCCACTGTCCTCAGCCAAAGTCCACATCCCTCGTCGGGGGCTACAGGCCCTGCCAAACTCCTCAAGCCCAGGCTCTTGCCTCTCCAGTCTTCCACTCTGGAAGCTCCTGGAAGGCCCGCCCCAAGTTCCCTCCAGAGTCTAGGCCTTTGCCATGCTGCTTTCTCTGCCTGCGCCATGCAGGCAAAGCCTCGGGAGTCCGATTGCCTCCTCCTTCCACATGCAGCTCTCTGCGCCTCAGTTTCAGCTTCCGTGAAATGGGGATGATAATACCTGTTTCCTTGAGTCACGGTGACAGTAAAGCAGTGCAGGTAACGAGCTTAGTCCAGTGCCTGGCAGCACCTGGTAAGTGGTAACTAAATGTTAGCTGCTATTACTGTCACCACCCCTGCTCAGCCTCATTGCTACTGCCTCCAGGAAGCCCTCCTGGACCCCCCAGCCTCCCACGCTGCCTGCTCTGGCCCTCCCACACCCTGATCACGGGTTGTAGCTCGGAGTTCCTTGTTGGTTGCACCACGAAGGAAGGGCCATGAGGGCAGGGGCCTCATTTGCCTTTCCCGGTGGGAGTCCCAGTACCAGGCACACAGCAGGTGTTGCATAAATATTTGTTGATTGACTAAAGGCCACACCAAGGAGCAGAGAAAAATCTCAGACTTTTCCCAGGTCCTGCCAGGTGCCCTGCTCTAAAAACACAGAGCTTGGTGAGCTTCCCAGGAGGGGCCCTCTGGTTAGGGAACCTTCAGTTCAGGTTGGGGACAGTCCTAGGGCCTAAGCCTTGGGGGGGGCGGTGCGGGGGCCCCGCCCTGCCCCCAGCGCCTGCCCCCTCCTCCCGCCCTCACCCTCACCCTTGCGGCTCCATCTGTGTACAGTGCTGATCCTGATCGCCGTGGGACTGGAGGTGGCCCCCTCGCCAGGTGAGCGCCCCCTCCTACCTCCGCAGGCAGCCGGGGGGGGGGGTTTCCCCCACAAGGGAACAACTCATCCGGGACCCGAGAGAGCCCCCAGCCCCCTCCTGTTTGCTCCTGTCCTCATGGCAGGAAACGACCGGTTTTACCGGAGGCAGTGACACCCCACCCCCACCCCCCAGCCCCGCGCTGCGCCCCCCAGCCTTGACTCGGCCCCTCCCTCTGCAGGTGTCTCCAGCGCCATCTTCTTCGTGCCCGGCTTCCTGCTGTTGGTCCCGGGAGGTGCGAACCGGCTCGGGGTGGGGGGTGGGGGGCCCGAGCTGGGGGGCGGGGGCGGAGCTGGGGCGGGCCACGGGCGGGGCCTCGGTTCTTTCCCCCCCCCCCCGCCCCCGCAGTCTACCACGTGATCTTCATCTACTGCGCAGTCAAGGGCCACCGCGGCTTCCAGTTCTTCTACCTGCCCTATTTCGAGAAGTGAGCCGCGGGCGCTCCCCCGGATCCAGCCTCGTCCGCGGGCGGCCCCGGGGGCGCTCCTCGGGCGCGCCCCGCTCTGGTTTCCTCATCTCCAGGGAAGAGCTCCAGGACCCCCGAGCCCCCAGCCCCGCTCGATGTTTGCTCAGGAAGTTTGCCCACTACCCAGGCCTGGGAAAGTCGTCCCATGCCTGCTCGGTGCCTTAACTTATTCTCGGGCCCTGGGGCTGCTGCATTGGTGTTTTGTGCTAATAAAAGAATGTATTTCACTCCGGAAGAGACCACCGATCCTTTCCCACCAGCCCTGCCCGGCGCATCAGCCGGGCCGCAGCCCCTCCTGCAAAACCTGAGGGCAGCGCGCGCGGGAGCTGCAGGCCCCGGGCCCGGCCGTCTCCCCGTGGCACCCGCGACAGTCCTGAGGCTGTAAGACTTGCTCCCCCGCTTCAGGTGCGCAGCTGGGCCCCGAACTCTCTATCCTGGAGACGTCTCGCGTCACCACCCAGCCCTCAGCAGAGTTGGCCCTGCCCGTTTCTCTGCCTGGAGATGCAGCCGGCTTGGTGCGTGCCCAGGGGCCCCTGGCCAGGGGCACTGGGGTGACGTAGGCCTGGGGCCTGGAGGCTGGTAGCCCGGGTGCAGCCGGGCTCTGGGGCCCTGGGCTGCCACGGCTCCGAATGTGGGCCGCGACGAGACCGGCCCAGCCCTTTCGGCTCGTTGCCCTACTTCCCGGCGGAAGGGTTGGGAGAGGTAAGGGCAGAGACACGGCAAGCAGGGCAGGACAGAACCCCCGTGATCCAAGACTCTTAGGACCACAGAACATTGGAAACAGACCAACTCAGAATTTTGGAAAACCAGAGCATCTCAGAATCTCAGGGGCCCGGTTCACAGAATCTTTGAGAACCCTGAATTCTGAGATCATAATAAACACCGTTTATCAAACTCTTAGAAGGCAGCAGGTCCTGTGTTGAGCCCTTAACGCAAGTTATTTCTGATAATCACCACCTCGGTCCCATTTTACAGATGAGGAAACCAAGGTCCAGAGGGACCGATTTGCCCAAGGGCAGGGTTAGGAACATAACCCAAGGCTTCCGAGACTCCCCGCGGCGAGAGGGAGAGGTGAGGGCACCCAGCATGTGTGGTCCCCAGTCGACCACCCCAGGCAGGGAGGGAGGGAGGGAGGGCGGGCTGAAGGACTGTGGGCTGAGGAGACCCTGTTCGTATACTTAGATGTTTTACTCTGTCTTCCTAGTGAAACATGAATGCCGATGAGAAGAGATGTGGGCTGGGCTGGCACCCACTGCGTCCCCAGCAGTCGGCAGACTGTCTTTAGTTTTCTGTGACTTTGTTGAAAGAATTAATACCCAGAAGCCTTTCCCACTACTGTTCTCCTGGCGCACCCAGACTTCCCACCCTCAGCCCCCAATCAGGGCACCTTGTGGGGGGGGGGGAGGGGTACCAGTTGGATACAGGAATTCCTGAATCAGTGGTTCTCAAAGCAGCTGTGGTAAAGGATCGGTGGTCATTTCTAATCTGTCATGGACCATCACGGTGGGAAGAGCAAATAAAAGTCGGAAAAGTGAAAAAGCAATGACATTCAGAACAGAAACCCACAATTTGTAGGACCAGATGAATCAGACCTGAAATCACATTTCAATGAATATAATCAGGACTAACAGAAAAAAAGGAAAATTATGAAAACCATTCATTGTGAGCAAATAGGCAATTAATAGAGTTGCTACTATGCCCATAACTTTTTATCATTCCACAATCTTTTTTTTAAGTTTACTTTTGTATTTTTGAGAGAGAGAGAGAGAGAGAGAACGAGTGCAAGCAGGCGAGGGCGGGGGTGGGGGGCAGAGACTCTAAAGTGGGCTCTGTGCTGACAGCAGCGAGCCTGATACGGGGCTCAAACTCACGAACTGTGAGATCATGACCTAAGCCGAGGTCGGATCCCTAACCAACTGAGCAACCCGGGTGCCCCTGTCCTTCTACCATCTTAACACCAAGTTATCCCAGGAGCGGTGAGTCTCAGACAATCACAGGCCCGATACGGTCCCCAAGCTAAAAATGGCTTTTACATTTTAGTAACGGTTCGGGGGAAAGTCAAAGACTAGTAAGATTTTGTGACACAAAGAAGTTTCTAAAATTCAAATTGCAGAGTCAATACATCAAGTTTAATCTATTAATTACCAAATTTCCAACCCAGCCGCCCCTGTTTGTACGTGGACCAGGGCTGCCTGGCAATTTTAACTACAGCCACAGACCGAGCACTGGCGATGGAAACCGTAGGGTCCTCAAAGCCCAAAACCTTTACCCTATCCGGCTTTTTACGGAAAAAGCTTACCAACCCTTGGTCCCTATGAATGCATCGACAGAACGCTGAAGCACAACGTGTGAAGTTTTCATGTGACCAATGTGCTTGATTTTTGCTGGTTAATTTACATAATCCAAACTGGATTGCCAGTAACGCTATCCTCAGGGAATCCTGAATATCTAAACTCTAAATGTAACTTCTTTTTCAGTTGAAAAACACATCGATAGCTGTGTCCAGACAAGGAATATTCGAGTTCTTTAGTGAACTGTGACTCATTTTATCCCAAATGCTTTCCCCTCCTAGCCCATTTCTGTCTGCCATGCCTGAACTTATACGAGCTCTCGTTGGTTCATTTTCTCCTAGTAACTCTGTGTTGCAAGCCATCACTTTCAGCCTTTGGATTCTCATTATGCCGCTTGAATGTGCCTTAGATCCCGCACTCCGCTGTGGGGGAGAGGCTGGTATCTGCCCTTTGGTGTCTGCTCTCTGCCCTGCAGTAGAAGAGCCTTTGGTTTTGTTTTTTGTTGTTGTTGTTTTAATGTTTATTTATTTCTGAGAGAGAAGAGTGTGTGTGTGTGTGTGTGTGTGTGTGAGTGAGAGAGAGAGCAGGGGAGGATCAGAGAGAGAGGGAGACACAGAATCTGAAACAGGCTCTAGGCTCTGAGCTGGCTGTCAGCACAGAGCCCGACACGGGGCTCGAACCCACGAACCATGAGATCAGAACCTGAGCCGGAGTCAGACGCTCAACCGACTGAGCCACCCAGTCACCCCGAGCCTTTGGTTTTTAGCTGAGCATGTGGCCGCCCCAGAGAAAGACTGCATTTCCCAGCATCCTTCACAGCCATCTGGACCAGGTGAGGAGCCCTCCCTAAAAGGATATAAGCGGTTAATGTGGTTAATGCTCTTTGTCCCTCTTTTTTTTTGAGGGGGGGTGTCTTTATTTTATTTTGAGAGACAGAGACAGAGAACAAGTAGAGGAGGGACAGAGAGAGAGAGAGAGAGAGAGAGAGAGGGAGACACAGAATCTGAAGCAGCTCCAGGCTCTGAGCTGTCAGCACAGAGCCCGACACAGGGCTCGAACTGACGAACCATGAGATCATGACCTGAACTGAAGTTGGACGCTTAACCGACTGAGCCACCCAGGAGCCCTTATTTGTCCCTTTTGGTCTTTGTTCCCGCCTCCATCGGGCCTCCTAGAAAACACACAAACTTGGGCATACCCCAGGAATGGGGGAGCACCTGGCGGAAGGAGCCTGGGTTCCTGAAGTCCATACACAGCTAAGAAATAAACTTCTGTCCAGTCTAAATCATTGTTATTTGGTGTCTCTACCAGTCACGGGGAACCCAATCTAATATTGAAACTTTCTTCTGGGACTGAGACTCTCTTTTAACCAAAAAACTTAATCTGGTTATAAGTATTGTAATTTTTATATGTTTAGAGATTACTCCTACCTTCTGTTTTACCTTCCGTCTTAATGTTTTCAAGGAGTTTGTTTTTCTTTTTTCCCTCTTTCTAGCCTTCTACTGGCTTAATCAAGAATTCTTCACTTTCCCTCTTTTCTTCCTCTATGGATTTGACCATCGAAGGGAACATTCTATCTCCATTTCTGTTATATTAATGGCTTAAAAAAAAGAAGATTTGCATGTTTTGACGTTTATTTATTTTGAGAGAGAGAGAACGAGCAGGGGAGGGGAAGAGGGGGACAGAGGATCAGAAGCAGGCTCTGTGCTGACAGCACAGGGCCTGATGTGAGGCTCCAACTCAGGAACCGCGAGATCATGACCTGAGCCAAAGTCAGACGCTTGACCGACTGAGCCACCCAGGTGCCCTGGTGGCTATTAATGGCTATTCTTATATTGTTAACAAAGTCTAAAGCTGATCAATGAATCTATTCTACTCTAGGAAAGATGAGAAAAAGATTTTAGCATATCGAAAGTATTCCCTCCCGTCTTCTCTTTTATTTTTGTCTATTATTTTAGCTCCTCCTTATTTTAAAATCCCCCAACTTAACTTTTTTATAGCTAGACTCTTTAGCTCCGCCAATATGTTTCCTGATCTCTTTCCTGACCATAATTTAATACTGTAATACTGTAATAACATACTCCGCCTTTCTTCTGGTCTCAATTTCCTTCTTACTGAAGGAAATTTCCTTCAATGAGAGCACATGGGTAGGAAACGCTTATCAGCCTGTATCCTGAAAAAAGTTGATATTTCACCTTCCTTCTTGAATAATGATTGAGTGAGGTATAGGCTCCTTGGCTGGCGACCATTCTTCCTCTGCATGCTGAACAATTTATTCCACTGTCTTCTGGCACTTACTGTAGCCAATGAAAAGTCTCCGTTGAGGGACACCTGGGTGGCTCAGTCAGTTAAGTGTCTGACTTTGGCTCAGGTAAGGATCTTGTGGTCCATGGGTTTGAGCCCTGCGTTGGGCTCTGTGCTGACAGCTCGGAGCCTGGAGCTGCTTTGGATTCTGTGTCTCCCTCTCTCTCTGCCCCTCCCCCACTCTCACTCTGTGTGTGTCTATCAAAAATAAATAATAAAACATTAAAAACAAATAAGTCTTCATAGAGCCTAATTTCTGCTCCTCGATAAGTAAGTAATCTGACTTCTGTCTCCAGTTGAATTGTTTACAAGATTTTCTTTTGTGTCCTGAGTTCCGCTGGATGCATCTAGATATGTGTTTTGGTTCATCCTTCTGAGGCTCCACTGTGTTCCTTCAATCTGTGCATTTGTCTTTGTGGAAGTCCTTATGGAAGAGTTTCAGCCATCACGTCTTTGAGTGTCACCTTACGTCCATTCTCTATATTTTCTCCTGAGACTCCTGATGGCTCCTCACTAGTCTTTAATATTTGCCATCGGTTTATCTCTTAGGGCTGCCTTCTGGGTGATTTCCCAGAGGCAGCTTCCAGTTCATTAATCTTCTCTTAAATGGTGTCTAATCTTATGAACAGACACTTCTCCAAAGAGGACATCCAGATGGCCAACAGACACGTGAGACGATGCTCAGCGTCCCTCCTCATCAGTGAAATACAAATCAAAACCACACTGAGATACCACCTCACACCAGTCAGAGTGGCTAAAATGAGCAAATCAGAGGACTCTAGATGCCGGCGAGGATGTGGAGAAAGGGGCACCCTCCTACACTGTTGGTGGGAATGTAAACTGGTGCAGCCCCTCTGGAAAACGGTGTGGAGGTTCCTCAAAAAGTTAACAATAGAACTTCCTTGTGACCCAGCAATAGCACTGCTAGGAATTTACTCAAGGGATACAGGAGTGCTGATGCATAGGGGCACACGGACCCCAATGTTCACAGCAGCACTCTCCACAATAGCCAAACCATGGAAAGAGCCTAAGTGTCCATCAACGGACGAATGGATCCAGAAGATGTGGTTTATCTATACCATGGAATACTACATGGCAATGAGAAACAATGAAATCTGGCCATGTGTAGCAACATGGATGGACCTTGAGGGTGTTATGCTGAGCGAAATAAGTCAGGCAGAGAAGGACAGATACCATATGTTTGCACGTATAGGAGGATTAGGAGGAACTTAACGGAGGACCATGGGAGAGAAGAAAGGGAGAAATGGTGTGGGAAAGGGAGAGAGGCAAACCATGAGAGACTCTTGAATGCTGAGAACAAACTGAGGGCTGATGGGTGTGGGGGGAGGGGAGGAGGTGATGGGCGTGGAGGAGGGCACTTGTGGGGATGAGCACTGGCTGTTTCATGGAAACCAACTTGACAATAAACTATTTAAAAATAAATAAATAAAATAAAATTACCATAAAAAATGGTGTCTAATCTGCTGTTGAACCAATCTGCTAATTTTTTTTTCATTCCAATGGCCATATCCTTTATTTTTAGAAGTTCTATTTTTCTTCTTAATCTT